TTAGAAAACACGGCCACAAGGCCAGGAAAGCCGATGTAGGCATCACTTTGGACAAGGGCGCGATAAAACAAAAAAACAAAGCAAGCAAGGAACATCAAGGAACTACGCCTTACGCTGCACCATTGCCAAAGGGTTCACTTAGCCACCGGGGGTTCACCCAGCCATTTGATTTAGGATCACATAGCCACCGGAAATTGCAACATGCACTTTAAGATGCTTCAAGCTAAAACCATATGTCGCATCTCAAGTCAGTTGAAGTGGGGTGGGGTCATGACGTGCACTTCGACTAGCACTCTTATCTGGGGCTGCTGACGTTCACTTCGGCAAACATTTCCTTTTTTGTTGTTGCGCCGCGGGCTCGACGGGTCACACGGCGGGCTATGCACAAAGCCCCCACTTTACGCACTTGACGGGGCGCCGGGGGGGCCACTGCATCTTGCGTGAGGTCTGCAAGGACGGCGGAGCGGGTGACGCGCTGGTAGCACCAAATAATACGCACGATCTGGCGATACCCAAACATGAGTGAGAGTGATTACGTTTGGCTGTTTGACAAGGGCCCTGCCAAAAGAAGTTGAAGTTAACGGAGCGAAGAAAACAAAAAACACACACATGTTTGATCTTGAGTCGCGAGCGACCCCCAGCAAACAAGCCGGAGTTGGCCAGCCGGTGCTCCGGATGATGCAGGGGTGCCTACTTCGGGCAGCACCAATGCTGGTGGTTCTGCGGTCGCACTGTTTGTCCAGGCTGGGTTGCCTTGGGGCGTGCGGGAATGCCTGCTGTTGTCATCCCGAAGTCTGTTGTGGGTGGCGGTGTTGTGGGGCCCGCCACACCGCAAGGGCAGGCCGCATTGCTGTCGGGCTGCTCTGCGCGCCAGTCACTGGCGAAGGTGGCCGCGGCCGAAGCAGGCCGTGTTTGAGTGCCAGCTTCGTGCAGTGCGAGTGGCCAGGAGGCTTCGGCTGGGGTATAGGTTGTGGCCAGCTGCTGCTTGGCATCCTTTGAAAGCTGGCAAGGGTGTGGTAGAGCGTTTGCCAGAGGACGGGGTCAGGGCACGTGTACGACTTCGCTTCGCAGAAGACAGAACAATCTTCTCAAGTTACACCGTGCCAGGAATGCAGGTGTGATGCACATACCCTTTGCATCCCCTTGCCACAATTCATGGACGTCCAAATTCAAGTGCCTCTTGCACAGTCAGTTTGCATCTAACAAGCTGAGCTACAGTGTTTTCCGCTCAGAAAGGGACACGCGCTTCCATTCCGGCTTATGTCTGCACTTTCCGTAGGTGATCTGCGCGCTCTCTCTCCTTCGCAGGCGTGCACACCAGCCGCGGGTCGCCCAAGATCGGCGACGAGCAGGTGCTGTCAATATTCCACAGAATGGCAAATATGCAAACGCCCGCACACGCCTCCCTATTTTAGAGCCAAGTATTGAAGACCCTTTGTGAACTTTTCCGCCTACGCGAATTGCAAACATTATCCCTGGAAAAACACACATATTCTCGATACCCCGCAATAGATGGAGCACTGCAATCCTGGCCCGAGAAACTCCCAGCTTACCCCTAGTTACGCAAACGTTTGAAATCTACGGGCGGGTCTTTTCGCGTGGTTTGCGAGAATGTCCTTTGCATTCATATGCATTCATCACCACTTCTTCTTGAGGTATCTCGTGGTCTGGCAGGACAATGCCTCTTGTATTGAAGTTCTAAGTTCTCAATATGTTGAGGCGTTTTTTGCTTGACTGCAAAGAAACCCCTCCGGGTTGGAACAAAGATATCGTGCGATTTTGAATAGTCCAAGAGACCTATAACTTTGCCACACAGTTGACTCCATCACATTTTCCAGGACCAATTGCATATGCGGACAAAAGATGTCCGAAGGGTCAGCCGACGGTCATCTGACTGAAGAGGAGAAACACTACTTTGACTTTGGACTTGCACTGGAAGCCTGTTTGGACGCAGGCGTTGGTAGCACCAAGACGGACAGGAACTATCATGAATCATGAACTAGCTTGTTCATCCAACGATCGTTCGCGACACAGATCCCCAAACAGCAATGCTGTTTCAAGCGTCGTTTGGACATGTTTAGGACAATGTCCACATTGTCGCGTCACGGTTTGCATTCGCTGCTTTCAGGGGAGCAACATGGAGCAACACAATCACTCTTACCACCGGACCCCACATGCTCCCCGTCAGTCCGAGGTGCCTGGGGTTGTTCAAATTCCAACGCCACATGATGTCGAGGATTGCCAAACACTAACGAGAAAGGATTGCAAGGCATGGACCCGGATCTCTGCATGATGTAAAGCACACGACACAGGCGGTTTACAGCTGCAGACCTCAAAATACCTCAAGAGTGTCGGTACAATTGCGATTGAGCAAGGACTGTGTTCAAGGTGCCAGGAAACATTCTCAGCAGATTCCCGGTTCCAAGACCACAAGCCCTCACAGATGGACCCAAAGTTCGGGCGCCATCGTCACAACAGGCACAAGATGGCACAAGATCAAACACCAGCCTTGCAAAAAGATCGAGTGATCCCTGGCAGACTTTTTTCAAGTCATCCAGGGTCTCCACCGAGGCATGCGTGCCCAAATGCAGCTAGGGCTTGCGTCGACACTATCCGAGCAATGTGTTTCCAAGTGGAACACGCCTAATACTACGGTGAATGTAAGGTGTGGGACGCCAGGTGAAGCAAGCCACGGACATGATCATCTCCAAACGCAAAGACGGAAGGGCAAGCGCGAAGAAACTTCGTACACGCGCACGCGGACCAAGCTGTTCGGCATGACCATGGAAATGGGATCGCCTTGTACCGCCACCAAGCGCCCATAGCACCACGAAGGTGAACAGCATGGTGAAGACCAAATGATAGCGCTTTGAGAATGAGTAATGGCATCATTTTCACGGGCTGGCTGCGACCAAGCGAGGCCCAAGTGCAGGTGGGGGCATGTGATGCTCATACAGCATGAAGAATGGAGGACTCAGGCAGTGGCTATGGCAGAATGGAGTCGTCAGAGTCCTGACGACTCCAACATCTTCATAGCTGGTCAGCCCTGCGACTGGTGCAAGGCCGAAGCTGCTCTGCTGGGGATCAAGGCTGCGGGTCGTCGGCTACGGTGAAGCAGCTGTGTGGCTTGGTCAGGCCACGAATGGGCTACGAATGGCTACCAGGTTGAAGTCGGTGAGTGGGTGAAGTTGATCTCGCGTGTCTTCGCAAGTTCCCCCCACGTCAGTCGATGTCAGTCGTATGACATCGGATTTGTGGACGAAACCGAAGCGGACGGAAGATGACTGCGCGGTCCAAAGTCTGCTCGTCAGTCTGACTTCAAATTTTGTTTGCTGCGTGCTGATGAGGCAAGGAAATAAGGGCTTCCACATAGTTCCACCTGTAGACAACACAACACCGATACTAAGGGACCAAAGGGGACAAAGAGCACGAACTGCGACAAAACGAGATCAGGATGTGGTGCCTACCCACTGTCCAAAATTTACAGTACTTGTTAGATCTTGTTAGCAGAGTTATGAGTTTTGCTAGAAGTGGGGCGCGAGAAGCTTTCCTCCAGTCCTTTTATCTGTCATTTTGATCAGTTCCTTGAAGGTCGATGTGTTAAAAGACCGCGCGCGCACACGCACACACACACACACACACAGATGCAGCGGTTCCTCTTGCTCTTCCGAAAAAGTTCGAGTTCTGCGGCAATGGTTCGTGACCTACACTGATCTTTAAGTCCGCGTAGCGTTGAGTCTAACGATGGCTTGTCATTTCTTTCCGGCAAAGGACATGTCGCAAGAACTGTCCAATCTGATGCTATTAGTTTCTTGCTGCAAACATGTCGTCGTGGGGCACAGTCTGCAGCCGTGTGCGTCCAATTCCTTCGAATTCTTTCGTTGGCTAGCAATGAGGGAGATGACTTGACCAAATCACGTACTCCAGCCACCAAGCTCTATCAACTTGGACACACCAGCACGGGAAGTCGGATAAGGTCATCCTGGAATCAGCTCGCTGCCAAGCGAAACCCGCGCGATGTGGGGAGTTTCCGACGCGGAGCGAACTGACGAACTGCCCGCGGGTTCGGCTGGGTCTTGCAGCTCTACGGCCAGGGTGGATGGCATGACCAAAGCTGGGACAAAACGCGTGTTCTGTCGACGGGTAGACGGATAGATTGCAAGAACCTGAAGCTGACTCCGTCGACGCCACAGAACAACAGAAGCCCCCAAGCAAAACAAGTCTCAAACATTAAACACACACTGTGAAACGTTGCTGAGGTTTTGCCTTCATTAGCAAGAAGGCAAGCATGCGCAGCGTGATAGACAAGCTTAGTTTGACAAGTCTAAACATATTGGAATCTCTCAGTGTGGTCGTCGCCCCTCTGCTTGGACAGTCTTCGCTACCTTTCTAGACAGCGAATCCATCCGCACAACGGGCCGGCAACTGGCCCTGTGGCCTAACAGCGAGGGAGGCGAGGCACCCTGGATGAGATCCAAGCAATAAGTTTCATGAGATAGAATGGCTCACGTTATAGAGGCGCACTCACAGGATGCCAGCTCGGTCGAGGCAAAGAGTGTGCAGATTCTCACGGCACCGATCAGCTCAGTGGGGACGCGTGGTTGGCTGAAGGGAGGTGATTGGCTCGATCAACGCTAAAGCATTTGAGGGATGCGCACAGCGGAGCAAACGGAGACTTGGAGTGCTGAATTTAGGGACTAACTCCAAAGAGAAAGCACATCCGCTGTGAGGGCGGGAGCGGAGTAGCGCGGCGCTATGATACAGAAACCGGCGTGGTAGCGGACTGGTCGATCTCAGCATTGCTCCACGCAATAGCACCCTACGAACTCAGTCGCTCCATTTTCTCTTGGCATCTGCACTTTCCAGCTGCTGCTGCAGCCGGAGGTCTATTCGGATGGTCTTTGCTTCAGCGTCGCTTATTGGATGCTTGAACTATAGCAATTGATCCGATTCCACGATTTCAGGATCGCTTCAATTTAACATTGTTCAAAAGAAGGTGCTAGACTTGTTGCTAAAGATGGGACTGAACGAGTAACCACATTTCTCAAAATTGAAAAAACACGTTCGAGGTGGCGAGAAAAAGAGCGGACTCGGGTGTGGTCCACTGTGGTCCACAGGTGAGAACATGCCGGCGAAGCTCTGGCGCTCTTTGAGCTCAGCTGCTCGGCTCCTCCTCGGCTCAGTCCTCGGAATCATCGTCGTCGTCGTCATCCTTGGAATCCGTCGACTCAGCGGCTTTCTTCGCCTCCTCCGCCTTGGCATCGTCCTCCTCCTTCTTCTTCGCTTTCTCCACCTCACTGAGTGTTTTCCATTTCTGCACAAACTTGTCAGCCTCAGCAACATCGTCGGTAATTATGATGTTATCAAAAATTGTGTTGCCCTTCACCTGCCACAAGTCAAAACCAATGAAGCCGAAGTCATCGTACTTGTAGAGGTTGTCATCATCCACGAATTCAGGGTTGGCAATCTTCTTTGCCTCCCAAATGCCTTTGTAAGCTGGGTTCGAGATTCGCTTCACCGTCCACTCACCCTTGTACTCAGGATTGTCGATCATTGGTGCCTCCCATTCGCCATCCTCCTCATCGTCCCAGTCATCTGGCTTCTTGGCATTGGCATCCACAATGCCTGGTTGATAATAACAATATATAATATATACATAACTTATAGCTAAACTGATATATAATATAACTATATAACAAATTTCCCAGTAATTTCCCAGTCAGAGGAATTGGACATTACAAACAACAATAAAACACGTACAGCAAAACATCCCGAACCACGACCCAGATGCGCTTCTCCTCCACCCAATTCTCCGGCTTCTTGTCCGCCGGGTCATCCATCATGCTGTCGTCGACCCAATCACTGGGCTTCTTGTCATCAGGATCCTTGATCTCCTTAGGAGCCAACAACTCCCAATCTTCCTTCAAAGATCCCTCGTAAATCTTCTCACCATCGATTTCTACTCGAGCAGTGTTGTCTGGCTTCAACACCAGCCTGTAGACATGAGAGGTGCCTTCACCCTCCTGCTTGTAGGCCAGGTCTGACTTCTTCAACACATTCTTGCCCTTGTAGTTGAAGATCAAATGGGTTCGCTTCGTATAACCACACTTGTCTGGGCCGAACATGATGTTGTAGGTTGTGGGATCGCCGAAGCTGGTGGGATCGCTGAGCTTGGGGCCCACCTTGACATAGCCACCTCCGCACTCAATGTCCTTCTCGTACTTGGCCTCCCACCCAGGGGCCACGTGGTGTGGGTCGCAACACGGCAAAACCGAAAAACACCGCCCGTTGACGGAACAAGGCTCAACATCAAAGCCTGACATGCCATGCTATGAGGCGGTTGCAGATACTTTTTTGAGTTCATCAGTGACTGTGAAATGTGCTTCTTCTCACCCAACGGTAGTTTTGACATGCTTTGACTAGTGTCCTGATACTGGATGATGAGGTCCTTGCCCGCATTGCTGAAGGAATCAAAGCCGGCAGACAGGCCGAAGAAACGTGAGTCCTTCACAAGCACCCAGTATCCAACTACTGCTCTTGCAGTATTCGCAAGAATCACAAGTGAATCCTATCTCAAGATCTTGTGCACATTGGGTCCACCGTGGGGGTCCGGGGTCTTCGGACCCACACCTAGTGCCACTCTCATTGAGGTGAAACGCTGCCCGCTGCTCCTCGGCTGTTTGGATCCCCTGATCCTCTTTCTCATCGCCTTATGCTGTGGCTTTGATGGCAATCAAAAACCATAAAGGAAACTCTTTGAATCTCTTTGACCTGTACTCAATGTTCATCTTGGGTTCCTGGAATTGTGCGAGGCCAGTTTGCATGCTACTTGTTCGTTGGCTTGTCCACACTCGCCATCTTGTGGCATGAAAGATCAGGGTCTCTACAAAAAGGCTGAAGAAATCTCCTAGACATCTGTTTTGCACATCATTGAAATATATAACTACAAAGTGTAATGGGCTAAATAGTTGTTCATGATTTTTCTCCTTTGGGGTGCAAGTGACAACATGTCATTTGCTCAAAACCAGTATCATGCCTCCTACTTTTCCCTCATATCAGCCGACCAGATGACTCACTCAGCTGCTGACTAAACCATTTGCCAGCTGATGCCTTCCACGTGCCCTGGCAGCTGCGTGACGTCAAGATAGCTTACATGGGTTGGAATGCCTGTGTCCTTTGTTCATGTCTGCAATCATTTGAGGTGATAGACTGATAGACTTTGTTGCTCCCAGTAAAGACTTGAACTCTTCACGTATCAGGTTGGACTTGTTGATCAGCTTGAGGGCCGGGGTTTCAACTTTCTCCATGGGCATGTACCTGCAAAAAAAGGCCCATGGGCCTGCGTGCCATCGCTCTTCTTCCACTCACTAGAGGTCCTGCGACATTTGATGACTCGATCTGGACTCGAGTCTTTATTCGTCTTTGTGTATATAATTTGTGAATTGAAATATATCATGCATCTTGAAGACTCAGATCCTTATTCAGATCATCCAAATCATGAAACATGATGCGTTTGGATGACACAAGCCCGGTGCTCCAGCGGCTCTCCCATCCATCACCGAAGGTCTCGGAGAAGTACACTTTGCCTTGCCAGCGCATGCTGCGCCGAGTCGCCCGGAGTCGCGAGTCGCCCGCGGGGGAAGTTCTGTTGCCCCGGAGCGAGGGCCTTCCGTTTCCTGAGTCACCACACCACTAGCGGTGGCCAGAGCACCCAAGCACAAGGCACGACGCATGGCGACCTGAGGCGCAGGAAAGGTCAAACAAACACCTCCAGCCAGGAAGTCAGGGCATTTGTTCTTCGCTTTGAAAGTCTGAAGTCTCAAAGCTCAGAGTGCCGGCCTATCTCCACGGGGTGCTTTTGTAGGGGCTGTCGACGAAGGCTTAAAATGGCAGCGAAAAAGACATAATCCACGACATCTGTCATCCTGGGTGGTGCTTTGAGTTTAGGACATCTGTCAGCAACTCGCAGGAGCAACACCAGTCCCAACTCCTCAAAAGACGCCCTTTCGGTGCAACGCTGCAACGTGAATATCTGCCTGCACTTGGGAAGTGCATTCTCCCAAGTCAGGTGACGTGACACTGGAGTCTTCTGAGACGCTGGACTGATTGTGACTAGCCATTACCTTATCTGGCTGGCAATTCGTTTTGGCACAAGTGCATCAAAGGAGGACTCCCAAAGCGAAGCTTCGTTGTCACGGTCGCCCGGTATGCACAAAAGTGAAACAGCTTCTAACATTGTCACCATGTGCGTCATTTGACGCCATGGTGTAGTGAATGTACAATGTGGATACGATGTGGAATGAACATCTATGAACATGAATGAACATACAGGGGTATGACCTCATATTCAAATAGCCATATATAATCTTGTGTTGACGGTGTAGATTGATCAGAACATATCAGAACATTGGTCGTTTGAGAAAGCACTACCAAGCAAAACACGAGGCCTACGCAAAGTCCATGTCCGGGATAACCATGCTTGCCTCAATCTTGAGAAGATAGGAACTCTCAAGATATAGATGTTCAATGTTTCCATCTCAAATTGCTCAAGTCCTGGTAACTTTGGATGTGAAACCAGTAGACTTCCGTGACTTCGCATGACTTCATCACCTCGGGCACTGAGGCCAAGGCCCCCGGTGGCGGAACGTAGATCGGTCGCACCACCTGAGGAAACATCGGAAACATCGCCCGGAAGAAGTCGACACGCTCCCGTTCCGTCGCCCGGAGTGGAGTTGGACTGCACAACACTGCACAGTTTACAGCTGGAAGGTTTTTTTCCAGCAAGCAGTGTGGACACACTTAGGGGTTCTTACGGTAGGTGTTAAGCAGCGGTGCTCACGCTCACACTCACTCACTTACTTGATGCGTGAGATGTGCGCTCCCTAGACTCTGTAGACCTCTGAAGCTCGAGCTTGCTCTGATATGTCTGCTCCGTGAACCGCTTTCTGAGATCATCTAGACCTCTGTCTTCTTCAGACTCTTGTTTCTAGAGTCACCTGGCGTGGTTACACCCAGCTATTCTTTTATCCGGTGCACCTGGCGTGGTTACACCCAGGAACTTTTTGCAAACATGGGCTTGTGGACTGAGAGATCGAGAGACGGACTCACTCACTCACCCACTCACTCACTAACTCACTCACTTGATGCGTGCTCTGGTGACTGTGCTCTCAGATGTGTGCTGAGCAGACTCCTGTCCCGAGCTCTGAGACTTTCCATCTGCGGTTACGCGATGCCCTCCTCGAGAAACACACTCTGTCTGCGGTTTCGCGACACAGTCTCGCTCTGTCTGGGGTTCCGCGACACAGTCTCGCCCCGCCCGCGGTGCCAGCAAAAAGGTCCGATGTGCGCTCGCAGTGTTCTGCACTTTTGGGTTTCGGGCATGAGCTTCTACTTCCTACTCCTTGGTGCTCGTGGGTGCTTCACCTCCACATACTACTCTCTACTTCCGACTCCGATGGGCCCCGCCCTTGTTCCGAAAGTGCGTTTGATATACACTCTACACTGTTTGGGGTCTCTTGCCGGGATAATGAAACGTTCGATCGCCTGCCTTTCGAAGCACACTTTCCCTGCCGTGAGCCTGGCGAGCCAGGTTGAACAGTTCTCCATATGTTCTTCCCTTTGGCCTCAAAGACCTCCAACTCAAAGTCTCAACTCGAGCCGCCTTGGTATACTCTTCTTCTCTGGCACGTTCCCGGAGGTATCTTTCCTGAACCTCACGGAGCGGCGCCCACTCCCCGTTGGGCCCGAGGCTCCTCGGTGTTTGACCCCCCGGTTGGGCCACGCTTCCCCGGTCGCCTTTCCAAGGAACTCCCCATTGGCCTCGCCCGGCGTGTCCTACCATTGCTCGATAACATGGAGAATCGCGACACGACAGAGATAGGATCTGTGAGGTTTTGTTTTCGTCAGTTTTTGTCTTCAGTGAAACTGCAGTGACGGAAATTTAGTGAGATTCAATTATGATGATTTCAAAGACCCACAAGCAAACGTAGTTTGATGGCACAGCAGTTGCCCTCATCAAGCAGCTCCATCTCATCAGTGAAAGAAACGTCGTGCTCCAAACATCTAGACTCTAGAAAGAAACCTCTAGACTCTAGAGCCCGTGAAACAAATTCAATCTTGGCAGGTAGTACGTTCTGCAGTATGTCCAGGTCCCTTCAAACTGTCTGTCCGCCTCCTGAGCATAGGCTCTGTCCAAATACTCCCGAAGATCTCGGCCAAGACCTCCAAGATCAAAGCTTGGATGTCTCCGAGACTCTTCGAGATCCGAGAATCCTAGTCTCAAACATGTCTTTCACAGGTTCTTCCCAAGTTCAAATGGCTTGACTTCTGATCCTTTCCGATGCCCCAACCTTGGTGCTTCGGTGCTTTGCCATGATAGATCCGTTGTCGCAGGCGGCGCTTCCTGTGCTGAAACCCACTCTGCAAGAGGCAAACGCGTGTTTTCCATTTGATTTTCCTCACTCTCCACCTTCCCTGTCGTCTCGCAGCACGAACCGTAGTAAGTGTTTGAGAACACCTTTTCCGGATTGCTTCGCTGGTTCACTTTCCTGGACACCAAACGTCCTCCCCATTCGCTCCTCCGACGCTCTGCTCGGCGTCCTTGCTTGCGCAGGATGACCTTGAGAACAGGAGAACACAGAAGAACCAGTCTTGACGCTGTGGATGACCAGCCTTGTATGGACCTCTTACATTTGAGCGCGTTTTCAGTTATCTGCAGCAATGTTTTGGGCCAGGGGCCTCCAAGCGGTGCTGCAAGCGGCACCAAACCTTTGCAAAATCAAGCAGACCGTGAAGAAGGCCAATCAATTCTTGAAGGATCTTAAAGGTCAAATATGGACATCCACAGTCACGGAAAGCATGTGAAGACTGAGCTCAAACGGTGCCTTCTTAGGTGACCTGACCGGCTCTGAAGGATGTGACAATGGGCCAGGAGGAACCTGCCCAGATGCAGGCCTCACCTCAACGCCGAACGCGGCGAGGAAGTGACGAGGACAAAGAAGCCGCACCGGAACCCGGAACCAAGACAGGAATCACGTGGAAATTGGACAGCTCAATGCACCGGTAAACTGAGAAGAAACAAGGCTAAACAACCAGGTACAAAAAGGCTCCAGAACTCTCAATAGCGGAGGCCACCAGGTCTTGCCAAGGGTACACCCCATTTTGCTAGCGCTGAACTAGTCTCCAATGCAAATCACGGGCTCAAACAACAAAACCACAAATGGTTCGACCGAAGCCAGTTGCCTAGGACATCCAAGTACTGTAGATTTCGAGTGATTCCTGGCAACTCCATCGTGGCGAGTCGCATCAGGGGGCAGTTTCCGCAGCACGCGATCGAAGGGTGGCGCCAGCAGCTGAGTGTTTGCCTGAGGCGAAGGCGGGCGAAGGCGCAAAGCTCTGAATTCAGCTCAGCTCCAGGTGGCCAGTTATCTATAGCATACAAACGACCAAGTGGAGCGCGAATCATGCGCTGAAGCCCGTGAACACGTTTGAGACCTGGCCTGCCACTTTTGAGCATCAAAGACCAGGCACGAGGGCCGGAGCTTCATCAAAGGCTCAGTCTGTGCCGGCATAGTTGCAAAACGGTTGATCTGTTTGGATTCAATCCATTGCTGCAGGTTGGCCAAATTCACATTCGCTTTGTTAGACTCAGTAGAATCAGTATAATGTGTGTGTATATAGATATATTTATATACACAGTGAAGCAACCGTTCAAAAGCCTCTCCTGATTGCGATAAACCTGTCGAGGCTTCTTTGGCAGTGAGTATGGCCTCAGCGATGAGTGCCCACTAACTTCAACCTTTTCAGGTTGGTGCATCACATATTTCTTACAGGTACTCAAGTACTCATTGATTTCACACATCTGGTTGCAGTATGGGCCTCTGCTAAGGGATAAGTTCTTTGTATGTATGTCCATGATTATGCTCTTTACTAAGCTATTCCCTTTCTCCGACAGGCCACGGCAGCACGGTCCCTTCTAAGAAGGCCGACACCTGACCGTTGCAAGGGGGTGCGGTTGCAGCGATCATCTGACCATGAGCCCCTCCCCACACACCTGAACAACTTCAGGCTCCACTTGCGCCTCACAAACTCAAAAGAGAGAAACATGATGAAACATGCTACTAAGTAGAATCAACTAATTAGGCATTTGTGGATGTCATTGATTGTAACCAACAATCGCTTGCCCAGCATTGACGGCCTCTTTGCTCGCTGTGTGAGCTACCTGGCAACAAGGACCCAACAGTTCCACAACAACCGTCTACGGCGTCTCGAAGCGAGGCGAACATCTGTCACTTGAAATCAACGTAATCAAACACATCTGATCGAGTTTGTGATTGATTTGAGATCGCTCCCTGCTGAGGGGAGGCCCCTCAGCCATTTGCAAAGACTTGAGACCCTGCCTCTGAAGACTCCAAGACTGTGGCAGTTGGAGGCTTGCTTGGGCCGGACGTAGTCGGGGCGCTGGGCATGCTGTAACCTGGCGCGTCAAAAGCAACCGCAAATGACTGCAGCATCAAAAGCGACCACATCCTTCCGTATTTTCCATGCTCAATGTTAAAGGCTTCGAGCCTTTCTGACCTTTTTATACCTTTTTTCTGATCTGGCTTTGTCTGGTGCTACGTAGCAGCACCCACCGATCTCATGGCCTTGTGAATAGCTCTCCTCCCAGTCAGGGCCTCAGTGGCTGACGTGACAGAGCGCTCTGAGATCAGGCTCAATTTGATTATGCTGGGTACAACGATCAATAAGGGATTGTAAAACGTTTCTTCCCCCACAAGGAGAGATTCTCGACCAGTCAGTCAGAACGGCCTCTGGGAGCGTCTCCACCATTTTTACCCAAGACATCAATCCGACTTCGGACAAACTTCGGGTGTCACACCGGTCTCCTTTTTCTGGCGCGGCCCAACCGTATTGGGACCCAATACATCACCAATCTTGATAGAAAGTGTTAATCCTTCCATGTCTTTGACGTCTTCTACGCCAAATACGTATGCGTTTGCAGTTGCGTTGCTGGGCAAAGGACGTGGTCCCAGCTCTGTCAACCTGAGAGGAGGTAGTTTAAGGGAAGGCACTGACAGCATTTAGTCATGCAAAGCCTTGGGAGTACGGTAGGGTATATTACTAGCTGTTGAACACTCATCAATTTCTGGTTGGAGTAAAAGCGAGAAGCTCAAACGGCAATAAAATTATTGAAACATCTAAGCTTATGTCGGGCGCGCCAGCCAAAGCAAAAAAAAAGGTAAAGCAAACAACAAAGCAAAAACATGTAGCTGTGCGCGTTTGTCGCTGTTTTGTCACTTTTTTATCGCTTTATTTTCGCATTGTGTTCGCTCTATTTTCGCATATGTTTCGTTTTTTTTTCCGCTTTTTTCCTAGGAGCGTACAGCAAATAATTTCTGACGGGTAAACATTCTCATAAGTGCAGAAGTGGTACCAGGAAAAAAAAAAGCAAACCAAATGCAAAAACACAAAACATGCGCGCTGCTTTTGCATTTTCATTTGCTTTTGTATTGCTCTTTGTTTCGCATTTTTTTCACAAAAAAAATATATTTGATGGTTGGTCATGTATGGCTACCATTGCCCAACATAAATCTAAGCATTGTTGAATTGTGCGAGTTGCACTGGTCATTCACGGACATTGTGTAAATGAGCTTCAAATTGAATTGCACACTGTGAACATCCCCACCCAAGCAAAATCCTCTGAGCCTCCCCACGGATTGCTCAACGAGGAATGTGAGTTCTTGGTGCAAAGAGGTGCAATACAATGCAATACACGGTGCAATGCAAATGGCTTTCGAACGCACGAGGATTGACTGGTTTTGTCTCTGCAAGATGCCATTGTCCTTGCAATATCTTTGGCATTCTTTGGCTATAAGGCTCGGGAGTGGTCTGGTTTGCCACTCAAATCCATCCCCGAACGACTTCAAGCCCAGCTGACCAAGTCACCGCCCAAAACAACAGGATCGAGTGAACATGCGTCGCCCAGACCCAGGAAGAAAAGCACTTCCCAATTCCTCTAATCCATCTAGGACACGCCCATCCTCGGATTGTAGTGGCCTGGCGTTCCCCCAGAACCCATCCATGTTTCGTATGTTTAAACATTCTAATCTGCGACATGACAGTCGTGGCTTCGGACATGACTCACCTGCCGACATCACTGACCCATGAAAACCCTGTCGATGTCACATGTGGCCATTGATGTCAATGACCCTTAGCACCCCTGTTTTCCTTTTAACAAGGAGTCACTCGCAGCACCTGAGTCAGTCCAGCCTGGTAAGCCATCCGCTGTCGCTACACTGCTGGCTGTAATGATGCTCCGCACGTTTGGCCGAGCTGCCTGGGAGCACAACGTTTGCATCCGAGTTGACTGTCAAAGCGGCAGGCGTGGATAATCATATGATATCATATGTATATATATATAATATAATATCCTATAATTTACATAACAGTTGCTTTTGGTTTGGCATCCGTGAAGTTCATGAAGTCCTGTTCAGACTGGGTGTACAGCATGATTCGTGCATCGGGGCACTCTTGCGCGCTCGCTCTCTCTCTCTCTCTCACACTCTCTTTCTTTCTCTCTCTCTCTCTCTCTTTCTCTCTCTCTCTCTCGCTCTCTCTCTCTCTCTCTGTGTCTCTCTCTTTCTCGATCGCTGCGTGCATTCGGCTTCCCTGCCAGGATGGCCGATTGGCCAGCCAGACCCAAACCTCGTCCCTGGCGTATCGACGCATTCGGCCGGCCACTCGACGTCGAAGCAATCCTCGCGACGGACGATCAACGCTCTCGGCACCTGGTACTGCACCAGCTCAGTATCAAAGAGCCGGCCAATGGGCAAAACCTAAGGCTTCCAGCCATGGCCATGTCTTGTCCCTATCTTCAGCTTCTTGTCTTTGTTTCTTTTGTCTTTCATTTGGAGGAAAATCTGTTTAATATTGATCTTTGGAAAAAAAAACAAGTAAGAAAAACTCTTTGACTCCAAATGACCGGTGTGTTTTTCGGCTCCTGCGTGTCATTCCCTGAGAAACATCCTTCCGATCCTGCCTGCGGCCGTGGTTCTGGAGGCCTTGACAGGACAGACTTGCCACAAAGACCCAGCTGGGTGAGCTGAGCATCGCTGAGCCCACTGCCATGATGGTTGGCTCCTGGAACCTCAAAGATCCCGAACCCGGTAGCAGCGGTAGCAGCGGTCAATGAGGCTTTCTTGTGATTGGGCAGTGAAACATACTGGATTTTTGGTATGAGTTCGATGCGCACCAAGTGTCTTTCTCTTAAAGATACAGTACAATGAGTATTTGAATGCTGGCATGTTGACCGTCTCCTGCAATGTGAGATTTCAACGGACGGCATATCTGTAGTGTGGATATTCTTCCAAAGTTTGTCGTGTGAATGGATTGGAGCACCGCAACGGAGATGCTCAGGTACGGCAAAGGAAGTTGAAAGGATCGAGTCACTGCAGGCATGCAAATCGGACAACCAATCAGAAAAGAACAGTATCATGCAGCCTTTAAGCAATTTAAAGGCTTGTACATACTACACCGAGCTTTGAACTTGGGTGTACCTTTACCCCTCATTTTGCAAAAGCAACATGACATTGATGGACCCAGGCTAAGACTCCACCTCAAGCAGGCTACATAATAAACTTAGACTAGGTCCTACCTAGGTCTTGAGTGTGGACGTAACATGCGGTGTTTTGGCACCAAACCTCCAATCCACCCTTCTCACTCACTCTCTCCCGCTCTCTCTCTCCCCCTCTCTATTTCTCTCTGTGTTCTGCAGAAGCTACTGCATCTCTGGGCAAGCGACGAGCGTGCTTTGGCAGTGCCAATGTCCCACATGCCTTCAATGACTCCAACAAGGCTGGGTGTCCAAGGACGCTACTAGGAGCTCCTGGCCTGACTACTAGGAGCAAGGACGCTACTAGGAGCTCCTGGCCTTACTACTAGGAACAAGAAGCTATTAGAAACAATAAATAAATATAAAATTAGAATTATATAAGTGTTCTCAGATTCTCCTGCTCTAGGTCAGTGTGTAGACATGTGTAGACGGCCGTGGGGTTTTCTCATGATGTGGACAACTTCAAGACGTCGTAAACCTTAGCCTGACTGTGTTTCTCGCGTACTTTTGAATTTGTAGTGTTGAGACCGCAACCTGACTGGGGAGAGAGCATATGTTGCATCAGGACCCCCCAAACTACTTTGCTTTTAAATACATAGACGGATATGGGAGGTCACGGAGCAAGTCAGTCGCGTCGTAGCAAAGCACCATGTTAATCTAGTGGGGTCAAACTGGTGTTTTATGCATCAACCGTTTACAATGATGATGTTGCAAATTGCCTCCCCACCTGAAAACAGTCTGCAATTAACCATGAGTTGACTCCACCATTGAAAAGAAAAAAACATTGTAAACACCCAGTGAACATGAGGTAAATAGTGCAAACAGTCTTCCCAGTGGCGAAGGAAACAGCAAGTCAGTACTGTAAATAGCGCGTGAAAAGCCGCGCAAAGAACAAACACAAAACACCACGGCCGTCTGTGGCCTATGGACCGCGGTCCAATTACTTACGCTGTGAAGGCTCATGGAACTGCAACCGCGGAATCGCCCCCCCCCCCCCAAAATGGCAGCTTTGGAGCACAATGACAAGTGTCTGAATGTGTAAAAAAGGCAACATGATGTTGCTATAATATGTTACCTTTACTTGAGTCTTAGATGCCTTAGTGCAAATAGCTTCGAATAATTCGAAAGCTTGTCTACTACTGTCAGTGTAATATATAACTCTAAAATGTAGCATTTACATGCATTTACTATCATGCTCCTCAAAACCGACCACATAAACGTCCTTCCTGATCATTCAGCTGATTTCAGCAAAGTTCACTTTGTTCCGATCAACTTAGGAAGTTGCGCCAACATCCAACATCGAGAAACGGAGTTGGTTTCTCCAAAGCCCAAACTTCTCTCGCACTACTATCAAGCCATTCGCCGCAAGCTCTGGCATTGATGAGTTCATGGCTTAAGTCGGAGCTGTCAGAGGCAAACCCAATGCTGTTGCTTCACATCAATCAGTCTGAAGCTTCCCTTCAGATTGCACTGCCACATCAACATCGCCAAACATCCGTCAGGCAACTGTCCAAGGACACTGCAAACGGGTCATTTCTGCTCATATAGTATCATCAAATCGAGTATCGCTGATTTATCGTTGATGTATGTATGTGCTTTCAGTTCATACCGATCCGTTGGCCTCTTGTTTTTCTGGGTCGGACCCCGGTGGACAGTCCACCCACTGCCCACCTCGACCACACCAAAAAAAAACACCAACACCGGTGGGAGCTCGATGGGCTCGTCCAACACCCGTCGTTCAATGCCAAACAGTGTTTTGTAGCGAAACAAAGCTGACTCGGATCATTGGTTGACAAAACTGACCCTGTCGTTGGGTCATTTTTACAATTTTGCAATGATCCAACTGACTCGGATCTAGCTGGCAGAATGCGGATGAATGTGTATCAGATTCTGTACTTTTTTTGACCAAACAATCGGCATTCCACGTGCCACGCCAAATAAAGACTCATGAAGAAATAACCTCAACCAACTCAACCAAGTCGAGCGTTTCGCTCCATGTCAGCATGAAGTGGTAAGGCACAAAGAGGTTTTGCCTCAAATTTAGCCTCAAAGGTGGTTTGGTCCTCGTGCCGGACATGAGTTGCAATGCCCACAACTCAAGTACTTGATTCAAAGTTGGTTCTTATTTCATCATATTCTATTCTCAAATCGAAGCTTTGCTCAAATCCTGTGCCTGTGGTGGAAAAACCTGTGGCTTCTGCGTTCCCGGCTTTGGGGGCCTCAGTCGGAACCAACGCTCTTTCTGCGTTGCCGAATGGCCGGATGCAGTGTTCAGTATACATTAGTGATTAGTGAAAGGCACCTTGGCAGGAGGAAGAGCCGATGATTTTATTCCCAATTCTGATACCATCATATAACATCTGCACAAATTGCATATGGCTCGGCTTCACTGTGTTATGGCTCGGTGTGACTCCCCTAGCCAGTTGAAAGCGAATTGCTTGCTTGCGAGTGATTCCAGCTCTTCCCCAGGGCGGGCCAGAGTGCACTTTACAAGCTATCTTCTTGTAACTCACTGGAACACTTCTTTCAAGCATTTTATAGGCCGTTGGAAATCCCCCGGTCTGACATGAAACAAGAATTCCGAGCATCCAACGCATCCACCACGGTGGGCAGGCTGGTCTTACCAATCTGGTGACAAGAGCAGGAAGGAGATCAAGTTGAGCAAGCTCAGCGGGATATGCACATTTTCTATATATATATGTACAGTTTGGAAGACCAGCGGAGGAAACAAGGAGTTGGAAGATGCCACAAACCTCCTCCTTGATTTCTTGCCACTCAAAACTGTTGACACAACGATCAGGCCGGAAGTAGCTGGAAGCAATGCTCGAAATGCTGGTGATCCTCTTCTGTTCACCCGCAGATTCCAACAATTTCACTCCAACCTGCTTCTCTTGCCAAACATGAGTTGTAAATACGTAGTTGTAAACAAACGGTCATCTGCCCACAAAACTGCCCAGGTGCTGCCGGTGCACCTTTGCAAGTTGTTTGGTCGAGGATTTCACCAAGTCCAGCATCTGTGCACCAGGTGGGGCTTCCTGACGACCAGTCACGAGCGAAGCATGGCGTCCTCGCCCGCGATACCGAACGCGTTCGCTCACCCGGTCCATCGGTCCATCGGTTCGCTCAGCAGGTCCTCCAACTGAAAGAGGAAGACCGATCGCGCATCATGCGTCAGCTGAAAGACCTGTGGGATCAGGAAGCAGCTTGATGATGCTGCGATGCTGCGCCATAAATTGGCCTTGATCTGGAGGTGGCAAAAATCAGACCCAGGAATGTGCAGGTTTTTACCCGTGGATGTGTCCCCCGTGACGTTTGGATTGTATGTTGGAGCCATGGCCTCCTAAAACCCTTCAACACATGCTGCGCTGCCGGGGGCTGGCACCGGCCTGCCGCTGCACATGCTGCACTGCCGCCTAGCATTGGATCCAAAGTTCCGGGAGTGAAGTGGTTTGGAACCAGCAAACCGACAACTTGGCCCATGGAAGCACGATGAGATCATGAAACAAAAGCTTAATGTACAACAAACATCCTCCAGTGTCATTTCTTGTCCCAACTCAAAGATCGAATTGATACGTTCAAGGGCACCCCCGCAAAAATGGAACTTCATCTGTGCATTCGATCTATAGAATCCATGAGTCCTTCCTACTGAACCTGCCTACTTGTTGGTTTTGCAAAGCATTCTCCCCTCATGACCAACGAACATACCGAGAGATAGAGCGAGATGCCATTGACTCCATCCAATCAACTGGTGCACCTGCTGCGCCTCTGTTGCCACATTGTCATGGAGCCATGAGGCAAGTGAGGCCTGCAGGGCTTCAAACAAGAATGATGAAGCGCCTCAGGTTTGAGGCCTAACTAATGTTTAATTCATATTAAGCAGGTCGTCCTAAATTTGTAAAATTCAACATTTCCAGAAAATCCAGATCACATTTTATCTATATATCGCCCCAAAATATGTATAAAATTAAGTTCAAAAAAAGACATAAACAACTCCAGGCGACAACTTCCAAAAAGAAAAACACATGTCCAATCTTCCAAAGAATATTTCGACGTCCAAAACCATTTAAGTAAAAACACTTGATTATGAAAGAAACTCTTCACTTCAACAGTCTTACAACGGGTACCCCTTACAATTGTCAAGGATCGACAATCGAGAGGAGGTCCACAATTAGAGACCCTCTCCCTATTGTGGCTCTCGGCTTGCGTTGGAATTGCTTCTTTTACATGAAGCAGAATGAAGGCAACATGAAGGAACATCCAAAAATCGTCCAGCTTCCAAAACCATGTGTTTAATCAAAAACTCTTATGAAAAGCTTCACTTCAACAGTCTTGCATAGGGTATCCCTTACAAGTGTCAAGGATCCACAAGAGAGACCAGGTTCACAATTATAGACCCTCTCCCTGTTGTGGCTCCTGGCTTGCTTTGCAATGTCTTCCTTTGCACGTTTACTGAAACATTAATCCTCTTGCATATGAAAACACAATGAAAGCAGAATGAGAGCAAATGAAAACAGAATGGAATGAAAGCAAATGAACTGAACTCCATAGGTGACTATTTTGCAGCTACCCCAAAAAACCATTCAAACACATCCAAAAGAAAATTGGAGAGGTTACCATCCATATTATTACGAATTCTCACATCATTACCCCTTTTTGCAATCAAGAAACCCACTCGGCATAAAATGTCACGATTTTACGGCATCAAGAAAACCACCCGCCTCTGGTGTTTCCGACCACCCTGTCAAAGGAATCAAGTGGCGCGTCCGTGGAATTCCATGAACTTCATGCCGGAAGCGGAGCCTAGTTGCCTTGTGCCTTTAAAGTCCACAAGTTAAGATGAGCAAACAAAAGATAACAAAAGTCACAGTCGCAAGAATTGTCCTGCCAAAATCTCCCAAGTGGGCCTTGCAAGTTTAGCAGCTCAAAGAAGGTTTCTGGGAGGCGCTCAACGTCCTTTTCAACAGCATCGACAGCCCGAGCCGATCTCGGCTCCCTCCCAAAAATCGTGTTGAAATTGACCACAAACGACAAAAACATACAAAAAGCAGCCACGGTCGAAGAGACGAACGCGACACCCCAAAAAGATACACACCTGAGTCCTTTGGCACGCATGCGACAGCAACGAGGCACGATACGGCTTCAGTCCTCCAGTCTTCGGAGCCCCAGAGTGAAGGCTCCAGAATGGTCTGTGACGGCAATGAAGACCTTTCAACAATTTTCAGATTGAGATTTGCAGAGGCTTTTTGGTGCAACACTGCCTAGTCTCGTACTGGAAGCAACAAGGTCAAGCGGCTTGAGGTATGGCCACACTGGCTTCCCCATCTGAAATGAACGGCACACCAGGCACTTTCGGCACGACGGGACTTCCGCGCGCACCGCACAGAGAAAGAGCAAGTACACGTGGACGGAGACATTTGGGCCTCAGAGGTGTTGGTTAGCGACCCGAGACCCTCCGGTGAGACCCAAAACAGGACCCTTTTTTAAAACCCGCTCCTGCCTCCTGCTTAATTAAGTAGGCACCTACTAATTAAGTAAGCTTCTAGCTGGCTACTTAAGCTGCTACCTACTGGACGCAGGATAGTTCACGCTTCTTCAAGGAAGCGCCCGCACTAGCACCGAGACCGACGCCGGTTTCGTCTGATGTGCTTGAAAAACCTGATCCCTCTGGTGCTTAGATGTGCTGCACGGTCCACTGAGCCCCCGTTCTCTCTGGCTACTCCGTGGAGTTGAGGATCCCAACCGCACCAAAGCGTGCAAAGCTCGAAAAGGAACATAGCAAAGTCCTCCTCGGTCATCGCCTCGACAAGCAAACCCAGCTCCAGTTACTAGTAACAAGGTTCGCTACTAGGGGCTCCTGGCATCGCTACTAGGAGCAAGGATGCTACTAGGGGCTCCTGGCCGTACTACTAGGAGCAAGGACGCTACTAGGAGCTTTTTCGCGCGTGCATTTGACAAACTAAAGAGGTTAAAATCACGACGCATCATGATAAATTTTATAAATCAATGTCAATGGATTGAGAGTCATGTCTTGCGTTGGTCTGATGGATGCATTTTCAGAAAACCAACTGGCTCCCGCCGCCGCCTCTTGCCCTAGCTGCACGTCTTCACTCCAGTCGCCCATGGCACTGTCTACTGCTCGTTCCAACAGAAACTCCTGAGGAGTTCATGCCGTGCCCAACAAAACAACACAAACCTTGAACGTGTTGCTTCAAAAGAGTTCAACTCCTCTCCTCCGCAAGGGCCTTCTGCATGGCCAGATTCAATTCGACGTACCTGTATACACATACTGCCCGATACGACATCACATCTGCATTCTGAGCTGAATGGACAGGCAGGCGCTCTGACACCATGCAATAGCGGCCATCTTCTTTGGAGTCTTCTTGTCGCACAGGCGGTCCCATCCATCCACCGGCGCACCCGTCCATGGCGAGCACCCCGTCATTCAGGCGCAAGAAGGGCCAAAAGCGACCGATTGACCTGTAAGTTTTTGTTGGAACGTCCCCGTCCCATCTTTCAGCTTTGGACAAGCAGCATCTGCTTAGAAGATATGAAAGGAGGTGCGACAGGCGGAGTTTGTCGCCTGGAGTTGTTTGGAGTATCCATAAGTGTGTGTTGTGTCACTAGCGGTCACCTCTGTCTGTCTGTTCCTCCACCCTGTTTTCATTATCTTCTCTGCCTTTCTGTTTTCTGATCGCAGTGCGAACTCTGAGGTGGAGACTCTTGTATGCTCCAGCACTGGAACAGGTGCATCTTCCGCTGCAACTGAGGACACAATGTTGTCAGACAAAAAGCATTTATACAATATACATATATATACAGTTATATACATTAGGGAAGGATGTGATTCTCTAGGAAAAGAGTTTTTAAGCATCACAACATCAGCAAAACGTGGCTTCGTGAGCGTCTTTCTCGCCGTCACAAAGGCTGCGTTTGGCGCCCAAAAGCAAAACTGCTTTGTTTGAGAGACAATGGCGGCATGAACACCTTGGAACAGGTTCCAGTGCTCCGGCCTGCCCTTCATCCTGATCATCTGCCTCACAAAGCGAGCTGCAACAAGCTTCAAAGACATTCTCGCTTGAGGATTAAGAGTAGAGGATCTCAAACTTTTAAGATCTAATAAGATTGAAGCCAGAAGGCCAAGGAAATGCTTTGAGATGGAGAAAGCGGAAAGACAAGTTGTTTTCTGCAGCTGTTTGTCAAAGCATCTGCAAGCTCCCCACCTGCCCTTCCATCGCACAATTAATTACTTCATTACTTCGCTGAGAGCCCAAAGTCAACATGTTGAGACGGATTGGAAAGAGCAATGCCATCGAAGGGACGACTGGTCCGCTTGGTGCCGGGTACAGGTTGCGTTTCCGGCCATGCCCGTCTTCCCTCGCCCACAGCATGACAACCACCAGTCATACCTTTGATGAGACTAATGTCTATCTCTATAGGTAATATGGTGTACAAATCCTTATTGTCCAGGTTCAGGCTTTCGAGACGCCAAGAATTTCTGTTCATTCTCTTTTTAACTTGCAAACGAAAACAAGCGGGTTATGCGAGACTCTCCATTCGTGAAGGACCAACACTTGCACGATGCAAACCTATCTATCTCGGCGCCGGCTCACCCACGCTTTAGAATTGCAGAGTCTCCAGCTACTTTGGGGGGCAGCCTGTTTGCTGCCGCCAGACTTTTGAATGCCTTTCCAAATCCTCGAGGAGGCCGAAGAGATAACAAAAGGCTCTGCAAGCACGTCACTCTTTGAGGGGCTTAAAGCAAAAACCACAAACTGTATATGCGTGTAGTTGTTGGGGTTGACAAGCTCTTCCAAAAGGTTGGCTTGGAAAAGCATTCTTGCTTCGCGTCAGTCCAGTTTCTGCAACAAGGAGCGGGCACTTGTCCCAGGAACAAGTAGTGCAAGTCATGTGCGTATGATGTTGCAACTTCACACGCGACTCGAAGCAAACATGCAACCCTGGCCTGTCAATTGGCTTTCACATGCATGAACCGAATCCAAACACCCAGTCTTTCAAGGGAGACCCTTCTGGTTGACTGGCCAGGATAGGGGCCTAGGAAGATTGCAAGCAGGGGCCTGCTTGTATCGGCGTGACCGTAAAGCGCATCAAAATCAAGGATAATTCCCTGAAATGTGAATCCAAATACACGTGCCCGAGCTGGGGAGTCAACAAATGGCCCGTTGTGGCTATTGATACATAGCGCACTTGTACGGTGTGCTGAGCTCTCCATTCACTCCGAGACTTTTCACACCGGAGCCAGCACCTGCAACCAGGTGCTTAGTGCTTGGAACCATCGTGCTCTCATGTGTGGCTTCAGAGCAATGAGTTGCTGGGAGGGAATGATTACATTGGCAAACTTGCAAAGAGATCAACCTCGAACTTAAGAATATGAGGAGGTGGAGGCCAACGCTACTAGGTGGAGGCCATTACTAGTAGCTACAAACTACTATGGTGGAGGCCCCACAACGGTCGCCTAACGGCCCAAAGTCTGGCAACAGAACTGCAGGATGCCCTCGGGATTGTCACCCACCAGGTGATATGCCTCCAAAGGCCGAGAACAGCCGAACGAAAAGACTCTGGCCGTTCGGTCACAGGTGGCCACATGTCTCTGGGATTGGAAGAGCTGAACTGACCAAGCGAGAAATCAGTGACAAAGAAATGCGAAAAGGTGCCGGGAACTCGTAGAATGAGAGTGTGATGATCAACCTCCAAATGGGTGTGTATTTCAATAGGGACCTCCAACCAATGGGTAGACTGGTATATTTCCCAGGGGGTCGTCGGGAGGTCTCCCTATTTCAATACACACCCAAATCGAACTTGGGATGCACTTTTGGGCAAAGTTTTCTTCTTTATACAACTAGCCTGGATGCACTTCTCCAATGGAAAGCCCATCGACATGACCTCAGGTCCATATATGCGCATGTCCATAGTATATCAAATATTTTACGTAGCACCACGAATGCAACACTTGTATTCCCTTGTATCTGGGGCATCAGCGGCATACACGCTTTCTGGATATTGGAAGTCACGGCTGTCCCTGGACGCGACTTTCCATCAACTTCGCTCAAAACGCAGAATCGCTGGCACTTTGGGACGCTGAGATTACCAGTGGAATCTTGCGGTTTCAAGACACATAGTTGGTTTTGCGGGGCATGCAAATGCAACAAAACATGAACGACGGAATGCACAGAGCTGGAAGCGATTGTGTATAGAGGCCACCTCTTTTCATCGTGAGATGAAGAAGACGCACCCTGAACCTCAAGGCCATAGGACATCGCTCGGCCAATGCCCTAAGGCAATAAACACTTGACTGGGTGTATTTCCTTCTGATTTGGAAGTCCATGTTGAACCTCTGAGGTCATATTATTGGAAGGATAGTGACATGTAGGAACTTACAGAAGCACGATACAAGTAGCATTATCCCAGCTTGGGGGTGAGGGGTCATTCTCCCGGCAAGAGGCCCCAAACAGTGTGTGTGTGTGTGAGGTCTATAAGCACAAAATCTAAGAGATCGAGAGTGAGTGAGAGTGAGAGTGGGAGAGTGAGTGAGTGTGAGTGTGAGTTGTGAGTGTGCGTGCGCTTGTGCGTGTGCGT